TCTCTTCTTCTCTCTCTCTCTCTCTCTCTCTCTCTTCGTCTCGCGCTCCTACACTTCCAGTCGAGAAGATTACACGAGTAAAGGACGCACCTTCCTTATTTGGGTTATCCTCTCGCCCTCCGTTGCTTCTGTCACCCGACGACTGTGTATCTATCACTTGGGCACGCACACCCACGCGCGGGACGGGGAGGCGCCCTCCCCCCTTCCTCGCGTCGCACTGCGAACGATCGTCGGCCGCGCTCGGTCTCTTTCGCTCTCATTCGCGGCCGCGGGAAGAAAGGAGAGACACGGCGATCGCTACTTGGAAGCTCACCCTGCACACACACACACACACACACACACCGTATGCCGTCTCTTCCCTCGTGGGAGGAGGTCGAAAGAGATTAGACGGCCAGCTACGGACGTGCGATGCTGCTGCCGGCACTACCGACGGACGCCACGCATTTCGCAGCGTTGTGATTCGCGACGAAAGACGCGCGCGACTCCAAATAATAATAATAATTCACCCACCTGGCCGCTAGACACCCCGCAACTGATTGAGCGAGCGCGCGGCGCCACCTGCGCGCGCCACCGGTCTTTCACCTCGTCACCGCGCTCCCCTTCCGCGCCATTTTACCGACCAATCGCGCGGCATGACGATCAGGAGCGTATATAAATAATGGGTACTGGGGGCATTCTTCAGTTCCCTGATCCGCGTGTTCTATCTACTACTATCTTTAAGATCTATCTTTATTTGACTAATTTTTTAAAAGTCGTGTCTTGTACATTTCAAAATATAGAAACTAAAGCTACCTGAAGAAAGTCTCCTGTATCTTCTTTTTTTCTTACGTCTATTTTTTTCTCATATTTAAATATGTCAAAAAGGGAGATATTTAGTTTTTCAAACTAATTAAAATTCAAGGAGAGCTTTTAGGAAAAAAATATGTTCTTTTCAGATTTGTTGTACCGTTTATTTTTTCTCTTTTTCTCTTTACATTGGAAAAAAAATAAGAAAGTGCAGAAAGTTCAGTTAAAAAGAACAGATCTTATGTCGGTGAAAAGAAGAAATATGTATGAAAACTGATAGTTTTGCTATGATTTGTTATGATTTTATAATTGCACCTTTCTTTGTGATTATAAAGATAAATGTATAATGCGAATTTACAAAAAATTTTTCCTAATTTTGATTCGGCACTGTTAGCGGACACTGATGATTATCGCCATCGCCAGTCAGCAGCCGACCGACGATGGAACCAATCGCACATCTTGTCAAAGTGTCCGTTCCGAATTATCTGGCTGGCCTGCCGATTCCCAATTCGATAGGGGGATGGTTTCGTCTAGGAGGTAATTTGTGCTGCCACATTTTACACTACAGTTACATCGACGTATCACCATCCGGACTTTGACATAACCTCTCGAACTTTGAAGAACTGTTTATTTTTTTTTTAATTCTTGTTTTATCTCCTTTTTCTCAGTAAGGGACTGGTTCGCTCTTCTGCCACCCACTGCCTTTCTCGCAGGTTTGGGATATATGTCCTACAGGGCATTTTGTCCTCTTGGCAGACCTGCGGTATGTATATTATGCCTATTTCTTGTAGAAAGTATCAAGGACAAGTTCCCTGTTGAACTACTATGATATCGTTAGAAAAGTTATGTAACTTCCAGATAAAAACTTCCAACTATTCGTTGTCAACTTGCCATAAACTTGCTATTAACTAGAAGGTGGATGACTTCTCAACTGTTCTCTATGTTTGTTTTCTATGTGCTCAAGTATAATACAGATGTCCTATATTGCAATCTTTTATTTTATACAGATTTTATTAGAATATTTCAATTTTCATGAAATTTTGATATAATGTTTATAATATTAAGTTAGAATATTTGAATATATGATAACATTTTTATTCTATGTTAAAAAAATATTTTTAATTAAATATTATACTTGAAATTATAAAGAAGTTTTTAATGTGCTTTTAAAGAAGCATTTAAATGTAAAATTCAAGTGAAGGGATATTTTATATTTAAAATATAATAAAATATAATATAGTTGTAAATATAAACAAATTCTGTTTATATTTTGAATGAAATAATTTTTTTCTTGATTCTGTTAATATTATTTTTATTATATTTTATTGCATAATTAAAATAATAATTAATGATGGAAATTATATATAAATAACGTGTTAATATAAGTTATTTATTACACAGTGTCTTGGACGTGTTAATCTCAAAATAAAGAAAGATATTCCAAAAGTAGTGGACACTGTTGATATCGAAGATATCTCTGAAAAGGCTGTTTTCTGTCGGTGTTGGAGATCTGAAAATGTAAGTTCTTTAATCAAAAAAGCTCTTATAAAGCAAGTGATTAATTTTGATTTTAATAAATTCTCTAAATCATGTACTATTTATATTGGTTATAAAATAATTTTTTATCATATTAATTATTGATATGCGCGCACACACACACACACACACACACACACACACACACACACACACACACACACACACTCACACACCCACCACAAAAGATGTCTTATAGATATATATTATTCTTAATCATTTTTTTTTATGTACAGTGGCCGTACTGTGATGGTACTCACGGACGTCACAATAATCAATGTGATGACAATGTGGGTCCACTCATCATCACAAAGAAAGAATAATTGTTATCATAATTGACTAATTACTGTCACATCGGTAATTTCTGATTTTTGTAAAATAGCTATTTACGCGCCATGCTGTAGATAAATATATGAGGGAGAATGAATTACAGATGAATCTCATCCCCCTCTGTAGATAAACTTTACAAAACAATGTCTACCGATTTATTTTTTAAGATGCCTGGATTCTATATAAGGGAAGGTTTATAAATAAATTTATTTCCATAATATATTCAGTGGTCTTTTATATTTATTTATAATTATTGAATCAAATGATTAATGTAATGTTAATAAAACAAAATGAATAAATAATTTTATTTTACATATATCCCATCTATAATATTCATCAGTAAGATCAATATGTACAAAGCTTTTCATAACTATTGTGACGTGACCTTTTATTCCTTTGTCACAGAGTTATTAGAATATAATATTACATGAACACTCTTGTTATTTTCAAAAAGGCACGACGAATTTTATATAAGCATTTTTTTACACGGAAAATCAGATATTTATTTTAACTTGAAAATTGAATTTGTGCTGCCATTCCATATTCCATGAATGAAAAATTATATAATAAAATTTATTTATATTAAGTTGAAATTTATTTTTGAAATTGATTTTTAATACAAATTAAAATTTTAATAATTATTAATTAAATATTAAGTTATTAATACTGATCTGGGATAAAATTAATTTTAATCAATAGATGTTAATGATTCTTATAATTAAATGTTTTTATCTGTAATGTAAAAAACTTAAAAAAATATTTAAAATATATTTCGTATCTTTTTTAGAAATATATTTCAGATAAAGAAATTAACAAAATTTATATTATGTAAACAATAAAATAAAATATTTCAGTTTATATAAGAATCGATATAACAAGATAAAATATGACTATAACAAAAATAAATTATATAAACAAATTATATAAACAATTATATAAACATGATTAAAATTGAGAAAATATAAAATATAAATGAACAGAATATATTTAGATTGTTGCTACTTAGATTATTGTTAGCCATATATAAATATTTCTTTTTGAAATTCGAAAGTTACTAATTATCAGCTAATAATAATAATTCCTTTGTACTAATTTCTAATACAATAACTAATAATCCTTTAATTATTATGTTTTCTGTCTGCAAGAACAATATATTATAAATCTCTATATATCATAAATATAAAGTATTTTTTATAATATTAATAAGTTTCATAGCATATTTTCAGTGCAATTAAATTATTATTATTAACTGGTCATAGATTTTTGATATTATATAGTTATGCACTAATCATATAATAAGATACGTGATTTTATAAATTGCTATTTTCTAAGATTTAATTAAAAATATTTTTCAATAAAATAATTATCCTCTATTTGAGATGTATCATTTTCTTTGCAAATCCACGACTTCGATAAGTGCCGTTACATCCAATTTACAATGTTTTGCTTTCTAAAACAATAGAAAAACTATGTAACATACAATATTTGCATTAAAGATATTATTAAATAACAATTATATTTACCATGTATAATGGTGATTCAGAGGGATGTGGATGAAATCCCGTTTCTCTGCAATTTGCGATGAAATCCAAGCCGTAATCAGGTGTCAAAATGAAGAATCCCGTTCTATATAAAGAATATCATATGACAAAAATCATAGCAAATATCAAAATAAATTCTGATTTAATTCTTATGGGGTATTTAAATAATCCTTTCAAGAATTCAATATGGCGCAAGATGTGCGCAATGTGTGTAAAATTTTTTATACGTACTCATCATACTTGGGCGCGCAAACTATCGCTATGGCTTCCGCCATCATCAATTGATAAGCACAATGCGTATGAAGATCCACGCTCGATAAGAATGCAGTCTGTGTAGGATGCGTCTGCAATATATATGTAATATATAATTATACTCACAATAAATTAAAAATAAATAAATGAATCATTTAGCAATGTTTTTAATAATATAAATTACAAACAAGATTACAAAAGGTAAATCTTACATGAATCCAACCAAGAGTGATAAGATTATGCTGATCTTGATAATCAAAGATATCTTCTTCGTTGTGTGTAGTACAAGAATCTGGAGTGCCAGTTTGTTCTGGTATCAATAGATGTGTCACCATCAACTTATTTCGCTCCAATCGCCCAGCCAAAATGCCGCAAGTCTCTTTATTGCTCATTGTATTGTGAAAGGCAAGCGTCAGAAAGTTGTGCATTAATTTGGTCGGCAAAATAACGTCACGCAAAGATAATCCGTCGCTCGTCAATAAGGAAGGCTTTGTAGAACGATCCACTGTTGGTGTTTTTCTAAAAAAAAAAAAAGCATTTGACATAGCAATTCATATATGTACATCTGTGTGCACCAAATATATTTTAAATATATCACATTTTTAATATCAATTTTAATGATATAATTTTAAATAATTATATTTACATATCCTTGGAAATTTTGAGTGCTTTATCATCATTTGTAGCACTTATCACAGTCTTTGGTGCGATAGAAGGCAAACTTTTTGCCTCCACTAATACATTAGCATTAATAGCAGCTTTAGCTGCTCTAACAGCAGCCAAAGCAGCCATTTTGTTTCTTCTAATTTCTTCTTCCTTTTGCCTGAACAAACGTGATATCGTACAGTTTATTTCTTGATAAAGATTAAAAATATAAATTATTTTTTAATAAAAATTATCAATTTTACTGTAATAAATATATGTAAGATAATTAAATACCTTTGAAGTTCTTCTTGTCTCAAACGTTCCTTTTCAATCCTTTCTTTTTCTTTCAAATCTTCTAAATACTTATCCAGCTCTGCTTGATATTGCTCCAATAATTGTTTCTTTAGTTTTTCAGCTTTAGGAATAACTATTCGTAAGGCATCTCTATTCATTGCTTTATCCTTAGCTGATACACTATCATATTGCGGATGGTGTTGTATTTTATCCACAAAAAGTCTGTAACAATAGGATGTTTAATAATATGTATATATAAATAATGAATTTTAATATTTGACAATTATTTGTATTAAAGAAGATATTTTCTATTTATATTTACATTTTATCAACATTTAAATTATTATAATGTAACAAAAAACAGATAAAGATATGTTTAATTATTATTAATTACCTACGTTATGAACTTCATATATAATGTGAAAGCATTTTCATAGTAGTGGTATTGCATATTCATATTTGCTAATCTGACCATTTCTACTCCAGTGCGATAATATCTAAAATTAAAAAGATACCATAAAGATTACTGAAAGAAATTAAATAACTCCTTCTGATAAGATATTTTCTAATTGTGAAATTAATCAAAATGATTAATTTTTAATTTTTTATTAATTTATTATTCAAGTTTTTTCTCAATTTTCTCAAATTTTTTTTTAAAAAAAGGAAGTTTCTTAAAGTATATTCTCCAATGAAGCAATTCGAATATTCTATGATTATATATTTTTATATAATAAAAATGATATATTTGTACCTTTTAGGTGCAATATTTGGATCAATTTCCACCCTCGAGGCATGCTCTGTAAGAGCCTTGATCCGTTCTTTGGGATCTGTAATATCCATTTCTTTCCAAGTCTGATTAGTTTTGCTCATCTTAGAGGTTAGTCCAATTAGATTTCTGATATTAAGAAATAGCTAAAAAATCTTTAGAGTTTTTCAATTTTATGATATTAAAAACATTTATCTCGATTTTGATTCTCAAAATAAGGAAAAGATATAGAAAAATATTAATTATTTAAATTCTAACTTCACCGCACTTGACAAACTGCGATGAACTGCAATTTATGCCATTGATACATACTGGTCGTTGGCTCTCTCTCACTCTCTCTCTCTCTCTCTCTCTCTCTCTCCCCTCTTTCTCTCTCTCTTTCTTGCTCTAGTTATATAAAATATTACTTATTACACATGAAAATGTCCAAGCAGAAAAATATGATATATGAATTTTGAGTCATAAAATATCTCTAGAAAAAAATATGATAATATTAATACAAAATATTTTATTGGTCAAGATATTTATATGTTCATAGATATGATTTATCAGATAATTTCATGTGTAGTAGTCTTTAATTCAAAACGCATCAGCAGACAAAAGCCTGAGAGCGGCCAATCCAGCCTTTTTCGTCGAAATCTCTGGATACTATAGGGACTCTAAAGTTACCGAATTTGCTATTGGTTCTTGCCCATAAAACAAGAAACATGATATGTACAACAATGAGAAGCATGATGGCCAACTTATCGATTTTCGTAAAAGTAAAAAGTTGATTGGCTACTGTAGCACATGATATAGGCTGCATTTCGAAATTCACTGCTAGTACTGAAAATCTATAATATACGTGACTGAAAATCTATAATATATCTGAACTATATATTTTCAGTACTGGCAGTGAGGATGGTTCCCCATATGTAGCATAACTTTACTTGCATAAGCATAAACCGCGTCAACCAATCAAATCGTCTAATAAGAGTCTAGACGGATTTGTGTAGAATAGCTGAGACAATTTGGTTGGATGACACAGTTTACGCTTACGCAAGTTACGCTGCATGGGAAACCAGCCTAAATATCAAAACGCAGTCATAATCAATCAATATATTTAAAAAATTTATCGTATAAATAGTAAAATATTGGTCGTACAATTTATGAAATATTTAAAAAAGATCTAAATATCTGATACATCTAATATTTAAACATTTAATATTTTTAAAAATATTTTGGCTTAATTAACGGGATTAATTAAGGGAATAAGAGACGTTATTAAAAATTGAGTTAAAAATTGCAAATGCTGTAAAAAGATATATATTTTTTGCCTATCGTATTCTTTTTCTGTAAAATGTAATTCCTATTCCTTACCGACGACTAATGCATCCGTTGATACATCGTAGCGTAAAGGAAACAACTTTACCGACTTCGGTATATTAAAAAGAACACAAGATATATTGTTATCGTTCATTGATAACATTGTCATGATAAGAGAAATTTATTGAAGTGATGTTTCTTCGAAGTATCTCTCTCTCTCTCTCAGAGAAAATTGATGCAAGTATTAATGCATGGAATATAACAAGCTATTTATTCGATTTTGATTAAAACTAATAGTGCAAGCTGAATTCCATCGTATTTATAATTAATTATAACTAATTTAATATTATACCAATTATTATAACTTTGTCAATGCAAATAATTAATTATAACCACAAATATGGTTAACTTTATATAGTTAATAACTGCAGTCTCTGTAAACCGCAATGTTAAAAAGATGATTATTAAAAATTCATCGTCTAAATAATTATCTGTATTAGTATAAAGAATGTTTCTCGTAATATATAATGGTATAATGGCGAGAACTTTTTTCTATAAGTAAATATTTAATTTTCCTTTTCTTTCTGAAGCGAGAACTTTTTTTCTCTTGGCAAACAATATAGTCAAACGTACTTATATTACGTTTACGATTGTCGGCAGATTTTGCTGAGACAAACAGAGCTCGTAATAAGCAGTCTATTCGGGTTCTAAATACCGAGTATAATTATCTCAAACAATTATGTTAAGACGTTAATGTGTCGTAAGAGGGTTTCTCATTTCGTAGCGTCAAACGACAACGCGGCCTCCTTTACGCATTTAACGATCTTGCAGAGTTGAGGCGAAGTTTAACCGCCTCTTCAGCATTATAGGTTGTTTCCCGGTTAGAGAAGAGAACCCCGAGGTAGGAGGAACTTTATCGATTGCGAATCGGTGTTCAAGTTTTCGCCGAACGACGTGGACGAGGACGTGACATCAAAACCGCGAACAATCACTCAATTGTTCAATATTTCGTACCGACACGTAATAACGTTATTTTTTCGAAAAAATTTTTTCATATTCAATTTTTGTGACTCACATCATCTTGCAGTAATAATTTCTGGCAGATCTACAATGTTCTATGATATCGAAATATCGATAGAGAGGAGGTGGATGGAAGGATGGAGGGATGGAGGTATTAAAATAGAAAAAGCAACCGTAGAATTGACGTATGGATTCATACGTGAAGGTTTATTAGGACAGTAACGATGATTGCATTACATTCTCGTAACTTATGCGTGAGACGATCGGGCAAGAGCCTCAAACAGAATAAGAAAATACATCCGCTGTTTTCAGCGGATACCGAAGTCGGTGCCCCGATCAATGGCCGGGCCTTTGTTCCGGGGCACGACTGCGATGCTTTCGGATAGTTTTAACCGCAGGACAAAGTTTGGAGCGCCCCAGGCGCAACTCGGATAACTCGACTCGTAGGTCCCAGTAATAGTAGCGGTACGAAAGGATAAAAGTTACGTTTCTAGGACTCAGGAACGCACGCCGCTAGGCCGCCCCTGAACTTCCTGCCTGATTACAGAGCGTTTCCAACAGTACATCGCTATCGGATTCCCGACATAATTTACAATTTATCAATTTTATCAATTTGTTTTTTAGGCATAAATCCGAAAATTAAGATGATGAAGAGATACACGATACTGTCCATAGGTTCGTGAACACATATATATAATATATATATAATAACGATATAATATATACATATATAACGATACTTTTTAACAAAGTATTTTCAACTTTAAGTATCTTTTCAGAAGGCTGCGTTACGTGTAAAGTTTCTCTCTTACCCATGTGACATGTTAACGTTGAAATAACAACAGATATTTCTTTTGTTACTAATTTCCTTTAGAATCATTTAAAACAGTTCAAATTTACTACGTTTCCAAACTCATGGACAGCGGCATATCTTATAAATAAATGATCGTAAATCCATTATTGAATTTATACGTAATTTATCTGTTACAATAAATTGACTCTCAATCAATCAATTGATTGCAAGCGTCGGTTTGGCGAAATTATTGCGAATTTGTATATATTTATCATAAAATTAACCATATAATTAGCTAATTTATATGCACGCATTACGTTAAATTAACTGCCAATCGATTAATTGATCGATAATAAGTACCGGTCATAAAATGAATACCTTTGTTTTAACGATGCCTCGGAGGGGGAGGGGGGGAGGGGAAGGGGTAGATTGGGTAACAGAGAGGGTTTATACTTTCTCCGACTGTCAAAGCTGCGACCTACGCCGCTTCTCACATTGGTGACTCTCTCTCGCGAATTCGTGAATCACTAGTACGGCTTGAGACAGTATGGCTATGTATAGTGACAGCGGTTGAAACGGATCGAATGTAACAATATTTACATGGTGATAGTTACATATAAGCATTTCATAGTGCCAATTAAATATCCAACTTACTATAATAGCGTTGCCCTCTTCTTTTCATTTCTCTTATTCTCAGTTAATGTGGGAAACCACAGAAAATGAAAATGATCTCCGCATCACACGCATCACCCACGCAGTTCCTATTGTTACTTACACACGCGCGCACGCAGTCTCACAGAAGTCGCACCGTGTGAGCATCACATTACTTCTCTTGCAAAACTCAACGAGAAACTTTAGGAAGAATTTTTTACCAACACATATTATAAACCTATTTAAAATTATAAAAAATATTATAAATCTATTTAAAAAGTACTCATCACGATAGAGTCTAACGTACACAATGACAGTATTGCTACCTAGTTTTTTTATGTATCTGCAGATACACAATTTGATATCGAGTTCATAGAAAGAAGTCCATTCTCATTCCTCACATTTGTATTATCTTCCATGCTGATTTTCCACATGTACACACGTAGAAACATGCTCGCTCATAATCGAGCCCACGCTTTTCGACATGATTTTGTGCAAATACAGCCAGTTACACTGACTCGACGCTCGACGCGTGGAGAACTGTTAGAATACGACACTATCTGGTTGTCAGATATCGCTGTAGTAAGCTCGAGGAAATACATCGGGCCTATAATTTCGCTAACTTGTTCCTTTCGAAATCATTTTTTTTGAGAAAGTGAGCTATACGTGTTACGTTAACGTAGCGCGCGAGTGCATTCAGCCGAATTCTACAATGAGCCGAGTCCTCTTTCTCCTGTGTTACTCAAGTTGTATTGGCCATCGTATAAATAATTCTATAACAGACTGCACTCTCAGACGGGCACGGTTTTCATCATATTTGCTCGCATTTCTATGGCGGAGCAGCATCAACATCAACAATCTTCAAAACGGACATATTATACTCGGTTCGATGCACGCGCATCGTGCATGAAGATGCGCGAAATTAACTTTGAAGGAGACTCCTTCTCTCTCCCTCTTCTAATATCTGTTTAACCCTTTGAAAGTAATATTTCACATTCCAATGGAATGTATATTTGTGTTGTACGATTTTGCAAGAACCGAAAAGAGCTGCAAATTACAAGTATGAGAGAAAAGCAACTTTTTTATTTGATATTTTTCTCTTTCTTTCTCTCTCTCTCTCT